CCGCTGCCTTCGGTGGCGCCGCAGTCGCACAGCCGGGCGCCCGCTGGCCGGCGGCGGCGATGGCCCCCTGAGCAGGACGGAGCGGGAGCGGCGGACGGGCGGGCGCCGGGGTCGGCGGGCAGAGGTCGTGTCGCGGCCTCTTTGTCTCGGCGGCGGCGGGCGCGCCCGCGGGGCCCGGGGCGGAAGTGCGGACGCGCTCTGGACGCCCCGGGCCGCAGCGGCCGCACCATGAGCGACATCCGCCACTCGCTGCTGCGCCGCGACGCGCTGAGCGCCGCCAAGGAGGTGCTGTACCACCTGGACATCTACTTCAGCAGCCAGCTGCAGAGCGCGCCGCTGCCCATCGTGGACAAGGGCCCCGTGGAGCTGCTCGAGGAGTTCGTGTTCCAGGTGCCCAAGGAGCGCGGCGCGCAGCCCAAGGTGCGGCGGGCGGCCGGGATGCCCGCGTCCGCGACAAGGAAACTCCCGCTCCTTTTCCGCCTCTCGAGGTGGCAAGCATTTGCCAAACCACAGACCCGCTTGCTATCTCAGGCTCCGTTCTCGCCCTTGGCCGTGCTCCTTCACAGCAGCCCAGATCCACCTTCTGTGGCGTCCTGAGCATTGCTCAGCCGTGTGCCTGTTTTGCGGGGCGTGCGACAGCCGGGTGTCAGTAGTGCTACAGGAAGAGACGTTAAAGGCCCGTAACCGAGAGTCTTAAACCGCTGTAGGTCATCCTGAGTCCACCCAGGATGATGTACGATTCTGTATAGTGACGTTTCCCGAGATTAACAGAGTTCTGCCCCCTGGGACCCGGCCTTTAGAGGGGTGAACAGTTCCCTGGGCGGGGGTGGGGTGGGGGGTGGGGTGGGGAATAGTATTTTTCCTGTTTTCTTATTCTACGAATTAACGCATCTGTTGAAGCTAAATTTTTTATCGTTTTTCTTGGATTTGTTTTACAGAGGTTGAATTCACTTCAGGAGCTCCAACTTCTTGAAATCATGTGCAATTATTTCCAGGAGCAAACCAAGGACTCTGTCCGGCAGATTATTTTCTCATCCCTTTTCAGCCCCCAAGGGAACAAGGCTGATGACAGCCGGATGAGCTTGTTGGGAAAACTGGTGTCCATGGCGGTGGCTGTTTGTCGGATCCCAGTGTTGGAGTGTGCAGCCTCCTGGCTCCAGGTACTTCTCTAGAAAGAGCCTTCGGAGAGCCTCTGAAGAGGAGTTTAGTGTCAGGAATTTTCCCTTGTTTGGATTTCAGGAGAGGCCTTTTCTATATGTTATCTCCTCTGTGTTGCTACCCTGCACGCTGATAGCCTCCTCCTATGTTTATAGACAGGTAGTATCCCTTCTTGAGAAAATAATAGTTTGGAGTGGTAAATGGATTTGAGAAGAAAAAAAGTTCCATCTTCAGAACAAGTGAAAAATCATTTTCCTTAGTTGAATATGGTAAGTTAATATTCTGAAAACAGCTACACATGTAGCCTCCAAGATAGGATTTTTTGTTTGTTTGTTTGTTTGTTTGTTTGTTTGTTTGTTTAAAGATCATTAGAAGTTAAATTATACAGTTGGGTCAGTAAGCACGTAACTTGTTTTGCATTGTTCCAGGGTGACATTGCAAACATGATGGCTCTCCCAATGGATATGGACAGAAGAGCCGTTTTTAAATATCAAAGGAAAAGATGTATATTTACAATAGATTTTGTGTTAGCTGGTACTTTGAAAGATTCATTTTGTTTTGCCTTTTGTTACTCAAGAGTCTTTCAGAAACTGGTAATCTACTTAGAGTAATTATCTAAAAAAACTTTTAACATTTATTTGTTTCTGAGAGGCAGAGACAGAGCACAAGCTGGGCAGGGGCGGGGAGAGAGGGAGACACAGAATCCAAACCTGGCTCCAAGGCTCTGAGCTGTCAGCACAGAGCCTGATGTGGGGCTTGAACCCATGAACCGTGAGATCATGACCTGAGCCAAAGCTGGACACTTAACTGACTAAGCCACCCAGGTGCCCCTAGAGTAATTGTTAATCAGAACTTTGCTTAACATGATTCGCCATTAAGCTAACAGAATTTACCACGTTCAGTTTCACAGACCTGCTTAATTCTCAAGTATTTGAAATCATTTGGGGTTGTTTCCCCCTCCCCAGTTTATGTAGCTGTTTTGCTTGAAATCTGTTTATCCTCAGAATTTGGTTAGAAACGTATATATTGGTCTCTGTAGCACACAGGTAAGCTTCAGTGGAATCTATACGTTCATTCTCACCAGTCTGACTTCTGGGGAATCTGAACTGATGGTGTGTGCTGTATTTAATCTCACAATTACCTCTATCCCTTGGTAACTTAGTGAAGCCAGGCTTAGCCCCCTGTAATTCATTGCATAATTTCCCATTTATCTCTCCTGATGCTATTGTGCTGGCTTTTTGGCAAAATAAAAGCAGATGTCAATGGCAAGGTCTTGGTGGCTTGAGTCAGGGATTGTCACCGCCACCAACCCTCCACCCCGAGGGGTGAGTGGCTACCACTCCCTGCTAGGGAAGGTAGGGTTGGCTGGTTTGAGGTTGTGGGGGCAAATTTCAGCCTGAGGGAACAATCTGGCACACTCTCTCCTTGCAGTTTCCCCTGTAGGCCACGGTTGGCCCTTGGAACTAGAACATCCTGAGCAGCTGTTGAATGTGGCCCTAGCTACGCATTGGCCTCTGAGTGGGAAGGAAAAAGGCAGGAGAGGCTGGTGATACAGGATTTGAAAGAATCACGGGAACCCATAAGGATAGGATTGTAAGAGAAAGTGAGAAAGCACTGCTCTAAATCGCATGATAGCTCACAAACTCTCCTCAAGCTCTTCAAAGTGGTAGCCACCGTTCACTTCTGCCTTTGGAGTCTTACCTGTCAGCTCCCAAAAGTTGTCATTTCCTCCTCTGAAGTCCGAGGTGATCTTTACTAACTGCACTTCAAAGCAGGGGTCAGCAGGCCTTTTGTGTAAAGGGCAAGACAGGAAATAGTTGAGGCTCTGCGGATCATGCAGAGTGTTTCGCAACCACTCAACTCTGTCCTGGTAGCATAGGAGCTGCCTTACACAACAGGCAAGCAGATGAGCAGATACATGTCTCTGACTTACAAAAACCGGGATGGATTTGGTCCGTGGGCTTTTGCTTGCCAAGTCCTGCTTCGGAGTTAGCTGTGAACATCTTTATCTCCTCTGGGAAGTGGATGTGCCCGTTCTGGGGGGGGTCTTCCCCGTGTGTAGGTGGTTGTAGCCTCCCAGCTCACGACACCTGTAGTCACGTGGACTGTGGCTTCTTTCCAGCGGACG